GATAGGAGTGTATCACGTCAGGGATAAGCAGAAAAAAATAAGTTGTGGGATTGCTTATATGGAGACTGGATATTTTGAATACTGTTTTCAACATTACGTTATCTATTGATAATGTGTAGTGACTACACGTAACTACACTAATGTATTACAAAGGTAAGAGACCGTTGGCATAAGACACACAATTTAACATGATTTTGATGTCTTAATTACTTCTCAGTTCTTACAGATTCTCAGTGTTTTGTATTATAAGCCATGTTTAAACTAATTATAATTGTTAGATCAAAATAAAACCTATGCGAAATTTTATTTCTAAAACTCAGATGCTCAACTTATTGTTCTACATAATTTGCTTCAGCAATTTTTTTTCAAGTACAGTTAAGTTCCTGGTAGTCTGGTCAACAGTTAATGTACATATACTTTCTAAAAAACGATACTGAATATGGTCATGGTTGATGGGTTTTTTACATGCTGTTATACTACACATCAGATACGACTTTTGTATCACGATAGAAAACAATGACATTTGTGGTTAATAGGAGGCTGTACCCTGGTACGTGGTGACTAAAAAACTCAATCATAAACATCAGTTAGCAGAAATCCACCTAGCCACTGGCCTAATGACTTAAAGCGCTTCTCAGTACCATCACTAACGTACTAAAACATATGTTTTATTCTTTTATGTACTTAGGTGAGGTTCTCTTCGTTTACTAACGAGATATTCTAACTTTTAACATACCTAAGGAGATATCGTTACGCTGTACTTCCTCGAGAAACAGAATTAAACGAAAACATTTCGTTCTTCAATAAGAGTCGAGACCTTATTATCTGCTAATGCTTTCAATTTTCCAAATTTATGAATATTTATTTATAGATAATTTTTATTTTATTAGGACCAATGCCAAAAAACTAAGCAAGTTTTTATCTATCTTAAACATTGATTCTATCTTTTAAATTTGAACAAATCCAGATATAAGTCATATATTATAATGTAGCATCAACGGTTCTTCAGGCATAGGGTAATTATTATAACATTATTATCATTAACGTTTTAAAAGAAATTAGAATCAGTAACATGCGTTAATAAAGCAGGTTTTCATAGTGAGTAAATGATGCGTATTACTCATATTAGTATCAACCCATCATGAGAAGATATAGAAAAAAATAGATAATTTTTCATATAGGGTATACTACTACGACCTATAACAATTATCATCAGTCTTTCTCTTTCTCTCTATCATTAAACATACGAGTACAAATATTAAATGCACAGGCAGAGAGATAGAAGAAGCTATTGTACGCTTCTACCAAAGGTAAAGCTGGAATTGTTACTGATGATTTGTTGGACTTCGCGTGACGTAGAAAAGCATTCAGTGGTCAAAGTATATGTGTACATGTGGTGTAACCAAAAAGATACTTACTGAAAAGCAGGATTAGTGAAACACAGCTTTATTTTAAGATAGTATTTTAGTTAGATTATTCATGTGTTTGAGAACAACTTTTCTGTCAGTTTCATGAATCATTATTGAGTCACACTAACGCTTATTTGTGAGGTTAGTACGGTTCTCACTATGTGGCGCTACTTGTCTACTTTTTATGTACGCAAAAACAACACAAAATAAGCTACATAAAAATTAATGAGTAGTTGGAAATTTGTTTAAAAAGTGATATTAGAAGTTTAGTTCTTTACTATATATATCTTCTCAATGTGTCTCTTTTTAATCTGCCTGTTTCAAACGTTTGAAATTCTCAGTTTTCCCTTAATGATCCTTGTCTTTGAAAGTCATCTTGTCTAGAGTAAACTTTACTGGCTACTGGGTATGCATACTCATTAAGAGCATACGAGCTATTAACTCTGCAACTCAGGCTCAGACGGGCTAATTATGATTTCGTCTTTTTATTTTATATTCATGTAGATACAAATGCAAACATGTAGGTACGAACATAAGTTCAAGATAGGAACATGCAAGTACTGTTAGCGCTGTCTTAATTATCATGCTAATGTTATATTAATGTGGCTAAACAAAAGCAATAAGATAATTAAAATTGTGGTAATAAAACTGTTTATATATGTACGTAATTTCTGTAGCGTAATTTATTTCCATTGCAAAACTTATATGTAACTAAAAGTAAAAAAAAAAAGAGAGAATAATTTATTATATTTTGTAGACCAAGATTATTGAAACATTTGACACAGTCTTTTAATACTTTCAGAGCTTAAAATATTAATGATACTCTACCGAGATTCCGAACTTTGTTCTACGTCCTAGTAGTACCTGTGACCTTGGGTGTTTGAACCCAAACAATTCTCACTTTTGAGTAAAGCTACCTGGGACTGCGCACTCACAAACGTGCTGCAACAAGACTGCACATTTGGAAGGAGAGGAGCTTTTCCTACACTCCTCCAGCGTGTAAGCAATTAAATAAATAGTTTTGAGGTTCTTTAAAGGAGAATCTATTGCAGAATATACACTTAATAGATTAATACTGTCTCGATCTTACACATATTTCAATTTCATTTAAAAACATACAATCTGATGAAGGTTTTTCAGCATTTGCTTTGTGCCTATTTATAGCTAAGGGTCGTTTTAGGCTTTCTAAATTCGTTTACAGCATCTACAATTTCCTCTGCCTAGAACTGAGGTAAACTATAATGTGAAACATGTTGAGTCACAAAACGTAAGCCATGACCAGTTGAATACAGCATTTTGATTGATATTAGCTGACATAGGTCTACATAAGTCGATGATAATGAATGGTGTTAGCTTTTATCAAATGTGACCTAATATATTTCATAATGCAACTTACAATACCAAAGTGAAAATCAAACAGCGATATATACCTAGTTAGGACCTAGCCAGCCTCAAACGCTCTAATTTAATGAATGAAGAAGCATATAAATGGCTTTAACGAAAAAAACTATAAAAGTACTACACAAAAATACCCTCCTTACCTATGTATCTATAAAATCAAATCCCCATTGGCTCGCCTTGTTTATCATTACCTAACTAGCAAAGTAAGAGCTGTCCATGCTCGGAATTGTAACCTACAGCGGATCATATTATCGCATATGTTACCTAATGTTTATTGATTATAATTTTAAAATACTATTTACTGTAAAATTGTATTCGATTGAAGATTAACATATTTTACGCTTTTTCCGGTTCAATAGACGAATACCTTGTTGAAATCAATCTGAACTAAAAGCACAAAAAAGCACATCGTTTATTAAAATATTACACGCACGTGAGATATCAGTGAAATACGTATATGATATTGATAATGATAACATTAAATGTAACACACATAAGAATATTTATTTTTCTAAATACCAGTGAATATAATTATTACAAACTGTATTTGGTTAGTAAAGAAATAAATTATATATGTATATATATTTTGTTTCTGCCATGGAAGTTTTATTATAAATTTATACGTATTTACTAGATATCTATAGATTTGTAAGAAACCTATTTTTTGTATTAATGGAGTACATTTTTATTGAATATAATATAGGGTTACAACATCGTTACTCTGAAACGTCGATCATACAGATAAAATTTAGGTTGTTAGTGTGAAGTACTACCAGATTGCGTGCGCATGTGTTTCGCATTGGGTGGTTGGTTAGTTTTTTACAACAAAGCAACAATGGGCTATTTGCTGTGTCCACCGCGGGGAATCGAATACCTGGTTTTTAGCGTTGTAAGTCTATAAACTTACCGCTATCCCACGGGAGGGGGAGGGGGCGTTTCACGTGGATATTAGCCAGTCGTATGAATAACACTTTACTCAAACAATTCGATATATATATATATGTGTGTGTAATACAAATGTCAGTTAATTAGTGGTTCAAAGCTGCTTGAAAACTCGACCTATCGGTGTATAAGTCCTTACTTAGCCCATATAACTATACATGTATATAGATATATAAATGTATGTCGCAGTTTGTTCAGACTTACTTCCAATCAAACATGTAAGTAGCACAACCAAGAGTTTTAACCGTTTTGAGATACTATATTTAAATATGCCACGAAATATAATATATATGGAATAATATCAAAAATAAAAATTTGAGTTCCAACTCGTTTGAAAGCTTCTGCTAGGCCTAAATTACTTGATATACTTTGTCATAAAAATGTTGGTTGAGTCTAAGATTGTATGACACAAATGTAATTACTACCTTGATAATGATTATTTTCTGGTTTGACTTGGATTATTGTTCCCTATCTGTATTCACGAAAGTTTTTTACATTTCGATAATTTATGTTTTTAATTTTAATAACTCTCACTTCTTTATTTAATTTATTTAATTATCTTCTATAAATTGTACTTCGTATATCTACTATAATCTCTAAACTTTCAAGTTTAAAGTTCAAATTGACAATTGTAGTTACCCAAGGCTGTAAGAGCAGTATGGACATGTGTTTTGATACAATTATTAATATCTTTATATTTGTCCAAGCATCTTACGGTAACAGATTAAAATTCTGTTCTTATTTATTTGTTTTAAGAGTCAGAATCATTGTATGATAGTTACAAAATCCTGCTGCTAAACAATGATTTAAAAAAGGCCAATTCGCTCACTGACCAGCAATTAGCAGGTAGACTCACCACGAAATGGTGGCGTTTACTGAAATGACTCCTTGAGTTGCATATTATTTCATTCTGGTAGCTCAACTATTTCCCGCCTTCGACAAAGCTCCGCCCTGGACGTGAAGGTTTGACGGCAGCGACACCTCGACCTCTTGGGGCTTCTTCTGTTCTCTAGGGTAAGGTGGCATATACCCTAACGAGTAGATCCTGTGCAAATCCGACAACTCACCGCCGCATGGCTCATCGTAATCGACGTCACGGCCAATAAGCTTCAGGGTCGAAATGTTTTGTGTGACGCCTCGCCTTTGTGCTGTCGTCATCAGACTGTCAACCAATCAGCAGAGAAAATAGAGGGCTATCTATCAGCGCCATGATGGTGAGCTGTCTGTCTAAAGCAAGGCCAACTTGTCAGCAATGCAGAACGCATATGACGGGCTTGGTACTGCAAGTCAGATCAGCGGGATCCATGTCTCCCAAAGCATGGCTACTAGTTTATCCAATCTGTATAGCGTTACAAGTAACGTGGAATCTTTGACAAACGCGCACGGTCTCGGCAGCAGCAGAGATATGCAAGTGGCTAGCTCTCAAGGCGGCTACGCGAGAGAATCTCCAGAGATGAAATACATGCCGCCGCAGCACCAGAGCCCAAACGGACACGCTTTAGGACATCATCACCAGTGGGTTAGTCTACCCTCGCATAGTGACCCTTCGGGCTGGCCATCTGGCATGCATCATCATGGACTGCACGGGCAGGACATTAAACCGCAGCATCACTCAGGGCATGAGCTACCTCACGCCTCCCTGGCCCACCACCGTCCGCCGCAGCACATGACAGCCTGGCATCCTTCCGCCTTAGCGGGTCAACACATGGTCAATATGTCATCATCAGCCAATGGCTCATCTCCCCTCCAACACCCTGCATATGCCATGAATGGAATGCTTACCCACGGTGGAACACAGATTCACCCAGCAATGAGAGAAGTTCCACAACACCTGTCAGGTGACCAGCACTTTCAGCTACATCATCCCCTTCACCAAACCGACAATGGACTCCACAGGATGCACCCCGACAGTGACGAACCCTGTTTGCTAGAAACACCTCCCCCATCCTCGGACGACCTAGAAACTTTTGCTAAACAATTTAAACAGCGTCGGATCAAGCTTGGCTTCACGCAAGCGGATGTCGGGCTCGCTCTTGGTACCCTTTATGGTAATGTTTTCAGCCAAACCACCATCTGCAGATTTGAAGCTCTACAACTGAGCTTCAAAAATATGTGTAAGTTAAAACCACTTCTAGCCAAATGGTTGGAAGAAGCAGACAGTACCACTGGGACCCCGACGTCTATTGACAAGATCGCCGCCCAAGGCCGCAAACGTAAAAAGCGGACGAGCATAGAAGTGTCCGTGAAAGGTGCGTTAGAAAACCACTTTCACAAACAGCCCAAACCCTCGGCACAAGAGATCGGTAGCCTAGCGGACAGCCTACAGATAGAGAAGGAGGTTGTACGAGTCTGGTTCTGTAATCGCCGTCAGAAAGAGAAGAGAATGACCCCTCCTGTAACAAACATGAGTCAGAACAACGATACCAGACATACCGGCCCACTAACAGTATCTGCGAACAGTACTACTGAAGTGTTGATGAGACATACAGACGATGGTTTTCATGGTGGCAGTCCGGTTCACCTACACAACCACTCGCACAGTCCACCCATGTTGCACTCTCCAACCCATCATTCAGCTAGCCATTCAATTCACACAGTTGGACAGTCACTGACCGCTCATTGACCAACCGATTTTGGGACAGTACTGACCACCATTAACCTAACAGTCCGTTTATAAAATGAGTGTATGTGTGCACGAAAACTGAACCTAATGTTTGCAGCTCATCAAATAACTTGCTTGTAAGTAGTGAGCTTCAGATGATGTTGACGTTATTAGTAGTATATATTGATGGGTCACGTTGAACGGTAACCAGATCTAACAATGAATGAGGTGCAAAGTTTGGATACACTTGTAGATAGACAGAAAACACCGAAACTAGTCGCAGTTCGAAGGACTGGGGGTGAAGGTAGGACTTTCATTTCTCTCTAAGGTTTGTGGGATGAGAATCCCATTTGCAGATGACACTTGCTAGCCTCGATTTATCTACCACCACTCCAGCAACTGTTTTACAAAAATCAAAGATAATTCTTTTGTATATAAAAAATAAATTGTAATGATGTGACTATAACATCTATTGATTATTTTAATGACGTCAGTTGAGGTGCAAATAAAAAAAATACCACTTAGGCAAGAAATTACATAAAAATAAATCTTTAAATTGCCAAATTCATACCTGGAAGTAATCTATACGAGTTCACTCTGTTACTGGTTAGCGATGTCAAAATCTTAAATCATTAATGTGTTTTATTTCTTTTCTTTTTTTTTGGCGTAAATCTAAAGAAAAAATATCTTAGTATGGCTGCGTGCAGAAGGCTTTTTGAAGTGATTTAACGTCACGAATTAAATAACGGGAGGTTGTGAAATAAAACTTTATTATTAATGTTTTTAAGCAATGAGTGCATCAAACTAGAGAAACACTGTAAATACACGAATACGTTTGTATATAGCCTACAAACATCATGACACCATTCTAAACATGCACGAATCTATAGGGAATACTAAAATGTCCACAAAAAGTAGGACACTAATATTTTCAGCACATGACACAGCACTGTTGTTGCTCTCTAGTTTCCTGCTGTTACACTCTCTGGTTTTCGAAAAACAGTTTGTCTATGAATAGAAATAACTACGTGAAAGATAAAAGTGTTTGATAATAAACTTTCTAAAGTATTATATGTTACTTCTACATCAAGGCTATCAATATCTATTTAAAATGTATTTAAAATACTGAAGAAATAAACCACGTATAGCACATACTATAATATATATATAACTTTCGAGACCCATTAAAAGTGAGATATGTTTTTCTTCTAACATATGCTAAATTTGGGTTTTTGCTTTAGCTTTTTGGTTTTTAAGTGAAATTAGTGACATTTGTATTTCTGATAGGTTAATGAGATATTTTGTTAATTTAGTAACAAATCTCACAGCACAAGACTCTCAACAATATACGTTTAGAATAGGATAACAATCTAGAACTAAACCACTACTATATTAAAAAATGGTACATGATTCATAATCATATTTTTAGCAGGCAAAAATAAGCCATATCTATCAGATTTAGTAGAAAAACAGCAGTACAGGACCATCAAAAGTATACTTTATCAGACAAAGACAATAATACAGATGCACCAGATTTAGTAGAATACAGCAGTACAGGACTCTTAAAGGTATACTTTATCAGACAAAGACAATAATACAGATGCACCAGATTTAGTAAAATACAGCAGTACAGGACTCTCAAAAGTATACCTGAGCAGACAACAATAATAAGATGTACCAGATTTACTAGAACACAGCAGTACAGGACTCTCAAAGGTATACTTTAGCAGACAACAATAACACAGATGCACTAGATTTACCAGAACAAAGCAGTACAGGACTCTCAAAGGTATACTTTAGCAGACAACAATAATACAGATGCACCATATTTACTAGAACACAGCAGTACAGGACTCTCAAAGGTATACTTTAGCAGACAACAATAATACAGATGCACCATATTTACTAGAACACAGCAGTACAAGACTCTCAAAGGTATACTTTAGCAGACAACAATAATACACATGCACTAGATTTACTAGAACACAGCAGTACAGGACTTTCAAAGGTATACTTTAGCAGACAACAATAATACAGATGCACCATATTTACTAGAACACAGCAGTACAGGACTCTCAAAAGTATACTTTAACAGACAACAATAATACAGATGCACCATATTTACTAGAACACAGCAGTACAGGACTTTCAAAGGTATACTTTAGCAGACAACAATAATACAGATGCACCATATTTACTAGAACACAGCAGTACAGAACTCTCAAAGGTATACTTTAGCAGACAACAATAATACAGATGCACTAGATTTACTAGAACACAGCAGTACAGGACTCTCAAAGGTATACTTTAGCAGACAACAATAATACAGATGCACCATATTTACTAGAACACAGCAGTACAGGACTCTCAAAGGTATACTTTAGCAGACAACAATAATACAGATGCACCATATTTACTAGAACACAGCAGTACAGGACTCTCAAAGGTATACTTTAGCAGACAACAATAATACAGATGCACCATATTTACTAGAACACAGCAGTACAGAACTTTCAAAGGTATACTTTAGCAGACAACAATAATACAGATGCACCATATTTACTAGAACACAGCAGTACAGGACTCTCAGAAGTATACTTTAACAGACATAACACAGGTTAATGGAGTTTTATGGAAAGTTTCAGCACACCATGTACAACAGTTTCACAGTTGCTAGTGAAAACAATGATCATAAACAGTTTTATAAGTCATCGGCACTCGCAGAAATATAGTTTTATAAATACCCAAGCAACTTATTCTAGCTTTACCACTTAGAACCAGAAAAATATAATCGATCAAAACTATCATTTAACGTACAGCTTAAAATGTTGAGCGTATCAAATGGACAAGATAACAGAAACCTGAGAATAAATTTGTTAAACAAAAATCAATATACAGTTTTCAAAATAATATTTAGTATTTGCGTACCAAAGATTTAATTGAAAAGAGTAGAACAAAATTAACAACGGTTTTCTCACAACATTAAATTTTTCGTAGGCAATGAAAATTCTAGTTTATTAACAGTATGTATAAAAACTGAACACGGATGTACATCAATATACGTGAAATAAGATAGCATAAAAATAGCATATACATAAAAAAAAATGAAATAATGGGCTATAATTCTTTTACAGCAGTTAAGCTGGCGTTTAAGATTGTTTTGTTTATTAAGGGGCAAATGCAGTAGTCCATTTAGCCCTGGGGACTCTTCATAAATACATAATTCTCCAGTTAAACATTTACGGTATTTACGCAACAATATAAAATGTTATTCGCATAAGCTCAGGAGTCATCTTATTAATTCATAAATTTCTTTTTTAAGATCTTAACTAATTTATTGTTTAAACTAAACGTGTCTCGCCTTTCAGTCCTACAAAGGCATATGTTTGTATTATCACGAAAGTAACTAGAGAATTTTGTAAATTTATTGCGGATTTAAAGTGTTCGTCTGAGTAGAAAAAGATGATAAGTGAGTGTTTGATAGTTTGAACCACTGACATAACTACAAAGATGGGATCACCAGCATAAAAAGTAATTGGAACCCTTAATTTATTTCCTATAACTGTAGTTACGATTCTGATTGATTCGGTCTCCCTTTTGGCTTGAGATTCCCCACAACTGCGGGGAATTACGCAATTACGCCACTGATATGAATCGAAACAGAATCTTTAAGCGCAGTTGTATTTTAAATTAGAAAGTATAACAAAGAAAAGGATTTTCCTGTTAAATATATTGTAATAGCACCTAACTCTTTATTCAAAATAAACGTGTGAACTTACTTCCAAGAGCATAGTTTCACAGTTACGTGGTCAATATACCACAAGTCTAACAAGATCCGTTGTGTTACAAAAGTGTGGTCCGATGTATCCCAATTTTTCATGAACAGAAAAGTGCAATTATGCTAACAATATTAGAAAGATGAAGTTTTACATGCAACAGCCGCCATCAACATGTTAGCTTTATTTGTGTCTATGACTTAATGTATAGCTTTACTTTTGTGTTGCTATTTATATACAAGGTCATGTTAATGTATAATTTTGTTAGAAAAGACAAAATAAATCTCTCTCTCTGTTTCATTTGAAATGATATTAGTTTTCGTATAAAACTGTAAAAAAACGTCCAGTTTCTCAGGTTTTTTTATTTACTGGCCCACTAGGAACTAAATCAATAAAATTGGTTTGACATAGTACAAAAAAAAAAAAAAACGTTGGCCAGTCATTCTGTATTAATTCACTTTGTTTTTGCCAGTCTCTAATTATATATAATTCTCTAATAGCACATGGTCCCCCTTTCATGTCACTGATTATATATAATTCTCTAATAGTACATGATCCCCCTTTCGTGTCTTTCATTATATATACTTCTCTAATAGTACATGATCCCCCTTTCGTGTCTCTGGTTATATATATAATTCTCTAATAGCACATAGTCCCCTTTTGTGTCCCTGATTATATATAATTCTCTAATAGTACATGATCCCCCTTTCGTGTCCCTGATTATATATATAATTCTCTAATAGTACATAGTCTCCCTTTTGTGTCTCTGATTATACTATTAGAGAATTATATATATAATCAGAGACACGAAAGGGGGATCATGTACTATTAGAGAATTATATACCACATAGTCCCCCTTTTGTGTCTCTGATTATATATATAATTCTCTAATAGTACATGATCCCCCTTTCGTGTCCCTGATTATATATATAATTCTCTAATAGTACATAGTCTCCCTTTCGTGCCTCTGATTATATATAATTCTCTAATAGTACATGATCCCCCTTTCGTGCCTCTGATTATATATAATTCTCTAATAGTACATGATCCCCCTTTCGTGTCTCTGATTATATATATAATTCTCTAATAGTACATAGTCCCCCTTTCGTGTCCCTGATTATATATAATTCTCTAATAGTACATGATCCCCCTTTCGTGTCTCTGATTATATATAATTCTCTAATAGCACATGGTCCCCTTTCATGTCACTGATTATATATAATTCTCTAATAGC